CACATGTGGCTATGATAATCAAGCACTTGGTGTACCCGCGAGTTGTGCTGCGCTTCCATGCGCTGCGCAAGCTAACAAAGGAGATGACCTCGGAGGTGGTCCCCTTTTGTCTCGAAATACACAATCGATGTCTGGAGTCGCAGCACACATATTCGGCTTTCGAGCGCCTCGCCTTCAATTCGGTGATGCACCTCGTGGGCGGCAGCCTTCGCCCGTGCAAGCTGGGTCGCGGGCCACTGGAGAAGGCCATCGAGGAGGCGGTTCGCCGCTTGTAATGGATGAGGAGGCCATCAAACACCTGAAATTAGGAAATCAGCAGCAGTACTGCTATGCCAACTCCACTTTAACTGCCATCCTTTGGTTGTTTGTGCAGGCTGACAAAGCCATTGATCCGCCTCGCGCATCCTTTCGGCAATCACTGCAACAGGTGTTAGGCTGCAGAGGCAGGATGTGTCATCTGTGGCAGCTTTCATCCTGGAAGCATGCAGTGCAGCCCTGGCGTGCAATAGGACAGCAAGACGCGGCTGAGTTTTTGCAAAGCATCAGTCCCCACCTCATCCAGCAAGCCTTGCGTGTTGAATGGGAAGCCCGAAGTGCACCCTCAGCCCCTGAGCTACCCTCTGAGGTCACAGATGCTGGATCATTTTGGCCACTGCCGCTGTCAGCACGGCTTTGCACAGGCACAGGTGCGAGATCAGCCCAGTTGCAGGATCTTGTTGAGCAATGGACCCATCAATCTCAAGATGGGCAAGCATTGACTTTTGCTGCCGCTGATGGGCCGCCACAGTGTCTTTTGCTCCAGGTAGCGCGATTCACGGATAGGGGTGATAAGCTAGACGGTCTTGTAATGCCACCTTTTACGGTTGACTTCCCCTACTTTGTAGGACCCGGCAACTCTACCCTACGGGCCAAGTATACCGTCCAAAGCATCATATTTCACCTGGGACGATCGACTACCTCTGGGCATTATCGTGCAGCCCTCCTCAAGCGAGGCAAGGTCTTGTTCATCACCGATGACGGAAAGACTGCTCAACCAGTGCCAGTGCAGTATCTCAATGTAGTGTATTCGAATTCATACATTTTCTGCCTGACCAAGACTGCCTGACTGACCTTTTCTGCAGTAGCCATTGTCTTCGTCCTTGACTCAGCACAGTTTGTGGCAACTTCGATCTGTAGCTTGTTGGACATCATCCTCCAGTTACCCTTTTGTTACATTCGTTTGTATGACCTGCTTCTCGGAACAGCACGGATAAGCCTGCTTATGGGCCCTTCGGGGCGAGGCTTCCGGGCTGGCTGAATTGTTGCCCATCAGTCGAGGACGGCTTTTAACCTTGAATGCTTTAGGATGCCATGCTCTATCCAACTTTTATTTGTAGTAGGTTCAGGTAGAGTGATCACTTGACAGCAAATCTTGATCCCCAATCCTGTGTAGCTGCTGCCCTCCTTTGGGTTCCGGGGGTAAACCGGACAGCCGGGAGTGGGGAACAAGACTAAATGTTCTAGGCCATAGGATTATACTTTGAGAGCATTTGTCTACTTCCATTATACCATTTACTACTTGCAAATGGCATCGTCATAGGAGAGTTCAGGAGGCCAAACGGCGTGCCCCAAGGGCGCCGGCGGACATCAATCCGTCGCTCCAGCGCATCGTGGATTACTCTACGGCGAGGGAAGAAGAAGATCATCATCATCATCATCATCATTTCTTGCATCATCATCAGTAGCATCATCATCATCATCGTCATCATCGTCGTCATCATCATTATCAGCATCCTCCCCCTCGTCATCACCAACACCTTCACCACTCAACATCATAATAGTCATCATCAACATCATCATCATCATCCTCATCATCACCATCATCACCATCATCATCATCATCGTCATCACCATCACCATCACCATCACCATCACCATCATCATCATCATCATCATTATCTTCAACATCAACATCATCACCATCATCAGCAGCAGTGTCATCAGAATCGTCATCATCGTCATCATCATCAGCATTCTCATCATCATCATCATCGTCATCATCACTGTCATCATGGCTCTTGTCATCATGGCGACTTTGCGTGAAATGCATCACTGACACCACCACTGCCGCCATCTGCCGCCACGACCATCCGCCACCACGACCACCACACTCTTCCTTTTCCTTCTCCTCGTCCACATCAGAACCGTCGTCGCCATCATCATCGTCACTGGCAGATCAAGAAGATGTTGGAATATTGTCACGGCTAGTTCGGCATGCGCAGTGCAGATGTGTCGCAAAGCTGCTGAAGGTGCAGGGGGCCATGCTGACTGGCAGGAAGACCAGGACGATAGCGAGAGTGTTGGTGCCTTGTCAGGATTATGGTTGTAGCAAAGGGTTCTGAGGCTGGCACCTTCGTGGGTGTAGCAGCTGTCTAAATAGGCCTCTGCGAGTTGCAGTAGCTTCCACTACCACTCGTGCGAGAGGTCGCCGTGGCATTACTCGGGCAGACATGCACTTGGTTTGCTGCCAGGGGTTTTTGCCTTCTCACAGACATGTGGGACCTGTGCAATCTCGCTCCCAGTCCCCTCCCTTCAACCTGAAGTCGTTTCCTTGCTTTCAAGTGTAAGAGTCTAACACAAAGAAACCTGCCATGCCACAAGGCTCAATTACTGTCGAGGGCCTGGCTCCGCTCAACACCTTCCAGCAGAAAGGCTTGGATTTGGCCTTGAAGGCCCTTGGACGAGAGTCCTGCTTAACAGGCTTTGCAGCATCACTGGGCTGGAAACTTCGCTCAGGAGCCCCTTGCCTACGTCCAAGGCAGGCCGCGCTTGTCTGCATCTTCCTGGGTCGTTTAATGCCGAGTTTGGAGGCGATTCCAGTCTGGAGGGGTTTTTTAGCGTCAGGAGAGGTGGCTGAGATTGGGTGGAGCATACTATGCGAGGCCCACCTGGCACGGGAAAGAGCACCGCGGCAGCTTATCTTATCTGCCACTTCTTGCGACGGCTGAGAACGTACCAGAAGGCGCGGGTCTCTGCATCTGAACCGGTGAAACTGTCTCTACGTGTTTACATTGATTTGACCATGGGGCCGACCTAGACTCTAGACTTGCACGTTGAAGATCCTTTGTTTCGGATGCACTTGTACGGATCAGCACGGATCCGACGCATGTCATTGCTGCGCTTGCAACGCAGGGACGTCCAGAAGGACCGATGCTGCTCGTTTGCTGCCCATCCAACAAGGCAAGCGATCTCAAAGCACATTCAGCTACATGAAAGCAGATCTGAACACACAGCATTGTGGGGCTTACGGTCGGGTTTAGGGTTCAGGGTTTGGTGGATTGGGAGCCTGAGACTCGAAATTCTGTAGCTGTACCGAAAAAGGCCTGCGATCGGCTGTTGCAGTTGCTCTCGCGCACGAACATCGCGGACACTGTCCGGTGACTTGGCGAACCAGAGTACTATTTCAGAGTTGTACAGGGAACATGACCGGCGCCACTTTTGGTCGTTCCGCAACAGTGTGTCCTACTTGTTGGCTTCGGCAGCTGTTCGAGGATCGTTCGGGTCTATGCGACATCCATCGAGCGGTCATACTGGTCGCAGCCGAATGCACAGCCTCCGGCCAGCAACACCTGCCTGCATCCAGCAGGCTCTGTTGACTTGACGGATTGCTGCAAGGTTTCGCAGGGACTACCAAATCGACCCGACTTTGTGCCAATATGCTCTGCTTCTCAGCTTGCACTTGCACAGAGGGTCTTCTGCAAATACATGTGCCGCTAAGGCACGAGCAAGTGAAGAAGGAGGATCCGGAGCTCTTCCAGTGCTTCCAGGCTTGGCCGTTCGTGGTACCAACTGTTCCTCGGTGAAGGGGGTTAAGGCGTCTTCCATGTGGGCAAGACGGTGTTAACTAGTGCAATCTGGCTGAAGCGATCTTGTGGCTGGCTTGTCTGGTTTGCGCTGGTGTCTTGTAGCAGATCATGCCCAAGTCCCAGCCTCACAATTGCGTGCAGGACATGGCATCCCAGCTACAAGATGCGGGTGTCCGTATCTTGGCAAGATACCTTCGGCTTGAGATGCTTGCTATCGGAATTTGTTGGGGGCATGCATGTCATTCACAGTAAAGACAGTTTTGAGTATCGGACGTGCAGAGTCCAAACCTTACCGAGGCAAAGACATGCTCTCGGAGCGGCTCAAGCTGCACGAGAAGCTTCAAGAGGCATTGGCTCTCTCTCCTTCTCCGATCTGCTCCAGATCACCGCTCTGGCAGGCCAGGCAGCAAAAGGACAGGCTATCCAAGAAGCTGCTCAAGCAGGTGCAACGGGCAAGTTCTTTAAGAGAGTTCCGAAGTGGCAAGTGTGAGAGGCCCATGTGATTTTCACTACTTGTGACTGTGCAACCAACGACAAGCTCTTCGAGAAGATGACTTATCCAGCAGTCGTCATCGACGAAGCTGCACAGGCGGTGGAGCAGCTTGTCTGGTCTCTGCTTACAAAGTCCGATCCTGGAGAATGTCGCCAACGTGAACCCTCAGTTTCCATCCGTTTGCTGGTCTAGGTTCGAGCTCGCCAGCTGCTGTGTTCTTGCAGAGGCGGGTGGGCTTGTGAAGAAGCTGTCTGTTGGAATCTTGAGTGACATCTTCCGTGAACTGAATGCCTTGCTTTGCCAAGGACCACTTGGCGCTGTTCGGGGACCACTTGCAGCTTGGTCCCGTTCTGACGGAGACCACCCTCTTTCCAGCCTTCAGGCGGATGTTCACCAGCACCTTGGGCCTGCTTTCGGCCTGGACAAGACAATTCTTCGTGAGAGCAGCAGCTCGGAGCCAGGATCACTCTTCGAGCGTGTTGTCTCGAAGCGGCGGGACCAGAACACGTCCTCGGGAATTCCACATGTCACACTCAAAAGGTGCGGGCCGTAGGATATTTGATGATCTTCCCATGACACAAGCTAGCTAACGCATGCAAGGTTCGTCTTGGTCCGGACTGCTATGTGCATAAACCACTCGCTGTGCAGGCAATATCGTATGCATCCGTCGATCAGTTGGTTTGCCAGCGAGGAGTTCTATGAAAACGAGCTACTTGTTTTCTATCTATCATCGGTCTTCTCTTACGAAGACCGGTTTTGTCGGTGATTTGAGGCCAAATGTCAGTCTGCAGTCTCCCGGCACAGAGGCTTGTGAATGCTCCGGAAACTGCCCGTGACGGCTTCACCTTGCCTTCATCGTCAGACTCACGGCTTGTGGTCGTGGACGTGACAGGCCTGCCGCACTTCATCGTTGACGTTGCAGAGCCTTGCCGGTAAGCTGGTAGGGATAGGATTTAGCAGTTTAGGGGCTTAGGGTAGCCGGCCCCGCCTGCGAGGGCCTCACGGCCGCCGTACAGTGGCCCCGGAGGGTGATGCGGTGCTCGACTACGAACACTCCCTGTGCAACCCTGCAGAGGCGGGAAACATGCGACGCAAGACCCAGGCCCTGCTCCTCATGTCACGAAGCAGGCTGCTGTCGTTGTGGATTACGTTCGCTGGCTGCTGAATTTGGGCGTGGAGAGTGCCAGCATCGCCGTCATTACGCCTTACCGGGAAGCTTGGCATTCAAGGTCCGCAAGTCGCAGTAGCCGAAGGACGCTTGTTGATGCGGGTTTCAGGCAACAGCAGTTTGTTCGACTCTTCCACTCAAGTCTGAGGCACAAGCAGCTCTGAGACTTTTCTGCACCGCTTTCCGCCTGCTTGGCATGATCTGTCCAGCAGCTGCAGTGCCGAGCACTGCAGCCCAGCTGAGGATTACAGAGCAGCTGGCCGAAGTCTCGCCCATGCCGACGATTGGAACAGTGCAGCTTGTCCTCTTGACATCCCTGATAACGAACATGAAAGGGTACTCTTCTAATCTCTTCTACTTGCCCTTCCGGGACTTCCCACTCCATGGTGGCATGCCTCATCTGTGGCTTGAGGCACCTGCTTCAGGGCGAGGAACGTGAGTACGTCGCCTGGCTCGAACGGTGACTTCGTGGCTTAACGACCTCAAACCTCGAGCCCTACATGGCTTTGAAATTGACCTAGCTTCCAAGCGCAGGACTCTGCACCATTAGCCGCTGAGGTCGCGCTGTCCCTTGTCCGGAGCTTTGCAGAGGCAGACACAGAGGCATCCAGCAATGATTGGTAATCTACTCGTTTCTGGCAAGCACCTCTTGGCCAAGAGGCAACTTGCGGCGTCAGATCCACATTTACATTCTGAATTATTTGTGAGGTGTTCGACCCTGTGCCTGCCTCGCTGCGGCGAGCAGCTGGGCACCAGCTGGGCTTCTTGAAAGACCGGCAACTTGACACAAAGGAGGCGAGATGAAAGCTCAAAGCATGGCAGAGCACCGGACCCAGGCGACTTGCGAACGTGGCACTGACCCGGGCGCAACTGGGCCTCCTGGTCGTCGGCAACATGCAGGCCGGCCTAGTTGTCAGATTCATTGCAGTCCTTGCTTTTGAGGCTGTCTCAGAAGGGTTCCCTGCTAGGTCCTGCTTGTTAGCAGAGCCTCTCATGAACAACCCAATGATGCCTTCTGGAATCCTTGTCTGATGCGCAGGTGCTCTCGGGAGCATCGCATTGGAAGCACCTGGTCCAGCATGTGAAAGGGGAGCATGTAAATGCGTACTGGACGGAGGCCTGCACTGCTAATTGGTCACCCGCTTGTGGTGTAGAATTTAGGACCGCCATGTATCGTGCATGAGCCAATCTCGCAGTGTGGAGTCCTGTCAGCTGTAGCTTTGATTATTCAGGTTTTAGTGGTTCGGCCGTTGCCTCACCAGGGCTGTTCGAGGATCTTGCATTGAAGTGTCAGCTTCGGCCCGGCGCAGGAACAAAAAGCCAGGTCACACTACATCTCGGCACATCAACTCAGCTGTGGTGCATCCTTAGCCTACCCAAGCCAAACACTGATGTCATGCGGTAGGCAGATGCCCGACACTTCTTGAAGACCAGCAACTTCAGCGAACCAAGTCGTGGTGCAGGGTGTTGGGAGCAGGACTGCAGGCTTGGAGGTTTGGCATTTGGTGTCGCCTGTGCCCACACCATGCAGTTTTCGCGCAGGATGCTGGCATCAGCGGCTCAGAGTCCGAAGGCCTTCCCCGCGCTTGGCATCGTGCGCGTTGTCATCCGCATCCCGAGCCTTCCTCCGCAAAGTGCCGCATCCGTCAGCTTCAGGTGGGGATCCTCAGGATGTCTCGGGAGGTGACGAGGAGGTCCGACTCTCGGCAAAGTGGTACTTGCAGAGCCTTGCGTGGTCTCAGGAGCAGGACCCTGACGACGAGCCTGATGCCTTTGAAGGCCAGGGTGACGTTTCGATTCCTGTCGACACCGTTACGAATTCTGGCCAGATCCGGTTCACTCTGCCAGCGAAGAAGAGAGTGCTAGAGATGCACCGGTCGCTCCACGAGCAGTGGCGAGCAGACAAAGGCAGCGGTGCTCTAAATATGTTGGATTTATGATTTTGGTTGTCTCAGCCGCAAGGCTCGTGGCAGATGCCTTCTGTTCCATACGTCGATTTCAGAGCGAACGGAGTGTGAAGAGATGTTTCCCTAGTGACGTGCCAGCATGCGGTGCAGTGTGGCGAACTCCACTGAGTTGAGAGAGCGCAGGCGAAAGGGGAAGAAGAAGAGGACTAAGCAGGCCCGACATGCTCGAACGGCCCTTGCAGCCTGGTTTGGGAGTCGTGCAGTGACCGTGCCTATCGTGCTTTGTAGGCAGCTCCGCCACCACGGAGTGACAGTGGGAAGGAAGACAAGGTGCTGGAAGTCCTGGCCTCGGGCATGCCAGCGCCGCTTTCCCTTTTCAGGCTGTCAAAATCTGTCTATCTATCTGTTTTCTATCTAATGATCTATCTATCTATCTATCTATCTAATTATCTATCTAATTATCTATCTAATTATCTATCTAATTATCTATCTAATTATCTATCTAATTATCTATCTATCTATCTATCTATCTATCTATCATGTCTGTCTCTCTGTCTGTCTGTCTGTCTGTCTGTCTGTCTGTCTGTCAAGCAATCTATCTGTCTGTCTGTCTGTCTGTCTGTCTGTCAAGCAATCTATCTATCTATCTATCTATTAATCTAATCTAGTCTAATCTGAAGCTAATCTAATCTAATATACTCTACTCTAGCCTAGTCTAATCTAATCTAATCTGCTCTAATCCTATCTCTCTCCCTCTCTCTCGCGCTCTCGGTCTCTTGCTCCATTCCCCCCTCTCTCTCTCTCTCTCTCTCTCTCTCTCTTTCGCTCTTGGTCTCTTGTTCCATTCTCGTCTTTTTCTCCTTTGGCTATGAGATGCCGCACTACAAGGATGCGGCGGCCGCAGCGGCCTCTGGTGCCTCCTCCTGCGCATCCCCCTCGATGGCTGCAACGGCGGCCACTAGCAGCGAGGCCTCGGAGTGTGTGGTGCGAAGCTGTCGGAGGAGGCCGGCAGCAGAGATCAGCCGAGTTTCCATAGTTTTTCAAAGACCCGAAGCATTTGGTCAAAGAGCCCTTTTGCGAATGCCTGAGGCCGCACAGGCATTCGCCCTTTGCATCCCAGCACGGCCTCTGAGCCTCGCCGATGAGTGCAGAAGTCTCTCAATTTCGGCATGCGAGTGACGACAATGTTGTCTCCGAGGTGCTGAGCATTGGGCTGAGATGTTGAAGGAGAGGGACATCTTGCAGCGAGACTTCAACGGAGGCTGGGTCTCTGCGGAGCTTGGGTTTTTTGAGATAGGTTGGTCCCGGCTTGCGAGGCACTTTGCTCGACAGATTTTTCTCGCCGCATTACTGGGCACCACCACCTCCAATCCTGCTGAAAGAGAAGCATTACAGCAGGTACATTGCCGTTTGCAGCACGTCATGCGGTCACGAATGGCTTGCAGCTTGCGTCTCGACAATGGCAAGGCCATTCTTTGCGCGGCTAGTATGCTTCCTCGACGACAAGCGACCGAAGAACAGACTCTTTGCATCATACTTTTTCCTCTTGAGCGTCTTCGCCATGGAGCAGAGAAGCACAGCAGGGCAGCTTCCGGCGAGGCAGAGGGAAACGTTTGGGCTGAGATGCTGAAGATTCAAAGGTCATACAGTTGTTGTTGCAGGCTCCAGGACTTCTGCATCCGTCTGATTTTCTGGGACCCGCTGTCAGGTTGGCATCCTGGCGGGAGGAATTCCCAGTGGTGGGCCCCCTTTTTGCAGTCTTCGCTCTCGCCGACGCGGGGCCTGATGTAGAGCCGGTTCCTGCATAGGTCGACTTCAAATTGTCGAAATGCCTTTGAGCTTTTTCGTTTTCTTTGCCTGGTTCCAGTATGGAGAAGGTATCAGCAGTGCATTCAACATGTCAATGTGCGGGCTCCCAAACAAATCCCAGGACTGCATTACCTTGGGCGATCTTCCAGAAGAGCTGCAGGTGTGTCGGGCTTTTCCAAACGCTTTGTAGGCTAGAAGCGAGTGTGTGTTCTCTCGACTTCACGGCATCTGCTTTGGACGGCTCAGCCCAGATCCGCTTTGCAGGCTCGCTGGGGCCGTGTTGAAGACTCCTGGCAGAAGTCCCTCCGCAACTCCTGTTCCCCTGGCTCTGCCGTGAGTCAAAACGACATCAACAGCGAGCATGGCGAGGAGCTGGCTGCTTGTGCATGTCTCGTCCTCTCAGCCTTCTGATGCTGTGCAAGTTGGGCAAGCTTCGACATGGCACATGCTTTAAGCACTTGGCAGGGGATGGGTCATGCTTGTTTCACCTAAGTGTCAATGCCTCTGATAACAGCATTCAGATGCAGTCAGTGTCACAGGGATTGCAAGCTATATTCTTCGGCGGACCAACCTGTAAACAGAGCACTTCTGGCCTGCATGAGGATGTATTGGCCATCGTAGCATTTTGGAAGCACGAAGGCAACGCCGGCTTGCTTGCCTCTGTGACTCATGGCGCGAGATGAACACGTATTGTGCCCCTTTTGCGCATCATGTGTAGCTTGCCGAAGCTGCAGGCAACGAGTGTCTCAAGAAGACGGACTTGCGTGAGGCAGAATCATGCTACAGCAGCTTGGCGCGGAATCTGTGTGGCCTCTTTCCCTTCGTGCAGTTCCCGGGTCCAGGTGAAGGCACCAAGCTGATCAAGGACAAAGTTTGAATGTTTGAGGCAACCATCGGAGTCAAAGTGAGCGCAATGTCCTTGAACTTGTGACCTGTGATAGGAGTTGCCGCCAGACTTTGTGGCAGATGCCATGGTTTCGAAGGCTATGGAGCTTGAGGCAGATCTGCTGAACAACTTCGCGCTCGCTTTACTAAAGGCGCCTTGTTTCGAACGGAACGAAGCTCTTTTACATTTGGGCCTGGGTTCAAGGTGGTCTAGTCTAGTTATCATCTCGAGGCTTGCCACGGGACTCTAGCAGTTCGGGAAACTGGGTCGGCAAGATCAGGGCCGAATCAGCTCAGACCGAGCCCTGGCAAGAGATGAGGCCATTTTCTTCTCGACAACGAAGGCTGACATGGACCTATCATCACAATAACAACCCTGGGGGGGGGGGGAGGGGAAGTCTGTCACTCCTGCATCTCGAAATTCGGATCCTGCAGCACCAACCCTTCACGATCGGGCTGTGTCCGATCTTGATGGTGTTTCATTACGCCCGCACTGCCAGCTTTATTGAGGATGAGGAAGTTTTGACAATGTCTAGATCTGACGGCACTGCTCTGCCGAGATGAATCGACCGCATGACGCCTTTCCGTCCCTGAGTTGCACATAACCCAGAATGGCCTCACCGAGAGAACCAGCTTGCAGTCACTAGGAGACGTCCCAGGGATCCCTGAGTCTGCACCAAACATGAGGCTTTAAGGGTTGTCCGAGATTCACTTCCTGCTGTTTGAATAAACACGGCGCGTCGGTTCTGGGGGGGGAATTGTTGGAAAAGCCCCAGTTGCACATCTGTCTGCACAAAGTGAGCTCGCGGTTCTCTGAGACGCACGTTCTATATGGAGCCATGTTCCTGAAAACCGGACGGAGATAAAAGTCTTGAACATGCATCTCGAACTCCGGCCATCCACCTCCCCGAAGTCACAGCCCAACCTGAAGCCTAAACCAATCTAGCAAAGCAATCATGACCCGAAGTCGTAAGCTATTGAAACCCTGAAAAAGAAGCTGAAGCCACCATAACACCTAAACCCTTGTAAACCCCAATGAAGCCTGAGGTTGGCTACCGAAGCTCTGGAGATCTTCGAAGAGTTAGGGCCAGGCTCGGGTCCTCTCTCCCGTGGTCGCGGTGCAAGTCGGGAGTTTGCTTTGTTCGATCTCAGGCGCCTTGACAGTCTCTCGGTCTTTCTCTGTCCCCATTCTCATTTTGGCTTTCCCAAACGTGCAAACTTGTAGTTTGCCACGGTTTTATGGAAGATAGTCGCACCGATGCATGCTTTGCCTCGTGTTCTTAGGGTTCCAACCACAGCGTGAGCTGAAAGATCGGTCTGTCGAACAAGCGAACGTCGGTCGATGTGCTTGGCGAAATGTCGAGTCTTGTGCTTACAGACAAAAACATTAGAACATGCACAAGTGGACAGAGATGAAAGCAAGGGAGGCGAGTTGCTACGGATTCAGAGAGGCCGGCAAACAGCCTTACAAACAAACAGACGGACCGAGAGACAGGAAGACAGAGTCATCATTGTTTGGGGGCTGAAGACCTGGGTTTCCTACAGACGAGCTTTCCATGTCCAGTGTGCTCGTGCCAAGTGGAATATTGAGCACTCTAGCCGAGTTAGCATCCTTGCTGTTTGTACATGCCGGGCATGCACACGCCTGCCCTGCAATTAAGTAATGCGCATGTTTCAACCTTGGCCTAGAAACTCCGAGGTTCCAAACAAGAAGTGTGCAGCTACGCCAAGCCATGCGAACCTCATACTGGAAGAAGCGCAGTTTTACTTATCGGTCTGATGTGGATGGGGCAAGTTTCCTATTACTACTGGGGCGCTGACGAGCATCCACTCGCAAACCCTAAACCCTGAACCCCACCGCAATTTAAGGGGTGAAGCATTTTGGGGCTAACTCGACTTCAATAGCAGCTTATCACTAGACCTGGCGTGTTTAGGGTGGGGTTTCGGGGTTAGGGGCCATATGTTCCGGGAAGATGCGTCTGTTAGCACATGAGGAGACGTATTGGCAACATCCACAGGCACTCCTAGAATTTGATACACTGCAAAATCGACTGCCCTTCATGTTTTGGCGGACAGTGCTTGCACGACTTTGAGTGACTGCAGATCTTGAGTGCTCAAGCCGTTGGACTGTGTAGAACCTTGCACAGAGCACTGGCCTTCGCTGCATGTTCAAGTTCGCTTTGATCGCACTGCTTGCGACCATCAGTGGGTTCCTTCAAGGATGCTTATTGTCCAGCAGTGGCGGATCCTGCCGCTGGGATGCAGTGGCGAATCCCACATTCTATCCCTGACCAGAACAGGAACATGTCTCAGCAGCCACAATCCCTCACTTCGGCTATACCCAGTATGTTGATAAAGAGCGACATGCGGCAGATCTCAGCCCAAGGCAACCTCCATTCCTGTCTAAGACCTCTACTCTTTGACAGCCATAGGCGATGAGGCGATGATGACTGAGTGCTTGGACAATACGACGGCCGCCGGCCTCGGTCCCTGCCTGAGTACTCTGAGCTCTGAGTTCTAAGTTTAGAGTCCAAGTCCGAAGTCATAAACCCTGGGACTTGAATCCCAATATCAAGAACCGACGCCCGAAGCCTGGTAGTTCTGCGCAAGAGCTGCATTGGCCGGATTTGGGTAGCAGCAGGGAGGGGGCAGAGTGTAATGGGATTTGGGGTTAGGACTTAGGGTTTTTTAGGGTTTCGGGATTTAGTGCAGCGGTTGGTCGTTGGCAGTGAGATGTTTGTTTGTACGGATTTGGGTCAACGGCCTTGTTTCCGTGATTCCCGGTACAGCGTGTGGCCGTGGTATGCCCTGGAGACTTGCAAGCCTCCATGGCCTTCACCTACGACGCAGCGGCAATCTTCGAATCCCGCCTCCCAAAACTCTAGCCGTCCAAAAAAATTGTGCAGCTTGCCGACTTTGTGAATGTTTGTATGCCCTTGGCTTGTTGGGATATCTGCAAATGGAACCTGAACCCTCAACTGCAATGACGTACGCTTACCAGAACGTTGTTTGCAGCATATGTGGAAGCTGCGGTATCCCTGGCCCACTGGAGGCCCGCCCTGACATCTCTACCTGCAACTCTCCCTGCTTGCCAGCTCAGGTGTGTGCGAGCTAGCACTCGGGAAGAGGGACTGCGTCGTGAACAACAACTGCTGTGGAATGGCCCTTCCCGACAGCGGGGGCAAGAGATTCTGGGGGGATCGGGTCTCCGACTGGATCGATTCCAAGCTACAGCTAAACGGTACGTGCGATTTCAGCCACTTGATTACATGCGAGCTGGAGCCGATAGTTGTCTGTTCCTATCCAGAGGGCGTGTGCCCATGGTAAGTGGATTTCGCTTATTTCTTTGCATGAGCACACGCTGCACACGCGGCAGGCAGTTTTTGTGCAGCTCTGTGCTGTTCCAATCAATCTAGTTACTGCTCCTGCTTCCAGTGGGCGGAACCACGTCAAGACAGCACAACGACAGCTGCAGCAACACGAGTTCCTTCCGCTTGCCCTGGCTGCAGTGGCCGCTGATGCTTGAAGAAACGAGCGACAGTTGTGCTACTCTCTCAGAGGGTTTGGTAACTGTCTGTTTGATTTGAGAGATTTCGGGGGGACTTGTTGGCAGCGTATGGGGACACAGGAGTCAGGGATACTTAGGAATAGTCTTGTCGTTCTGTTTGAGTGGGCGCATAGCCAAATTCCTTATGGGCGTGGGGGAAGGTTTCTTGTAAGTGGGGTTGGGGTTGTAGGCGTGGAGGTTTGCAATGAGAGATTCGGCAGAGCCGGCAGAGGGGATTTAAGAACTTTGACAACAAGACCCATGCTCACGCGGGGGTCAGTGCACCTGCACACTCGCCTCCCAAAGAACTCCGTCCGCCCTTGCGGTTTTCAGCATTGTTGCTCGGATGGTTCATTTTTCGTCCAATGTGCAGCAACAGGTCACACTGCCAAGCGCGTGAAGGCTCTCTATCGCTGCGGACGTGCCTGCATGGCGCCTGGACGTGCAACTAGCAAGGAATTGGATGCAGTTCAAGAGCCAACTGGAGGCGCTGATCCTTTCTCCGAAGATTGCGGTTGTTGACAAAGCTGGGCACGTTTGGAGTTGACGACCTGGCATCAAACGTCACCGAAAGCAAGAGAAACCAAATCCCCAAAGGCCTAAAAGGCCCCAGAAACACGAACAAAATTGTACTCCGAGGTCCAGGGAGACTGTGGAAGGGCACGCGGCTTTTTTACCGAAGCTCTGCGCCTGGATCCGGCGAAGCCCCGAGCTGCCAGGGGGAATTCTCAGCGAAAGATTTCAATTGGGCCGTACGGTCCCTGTGAACTAGCATGCCAGCATGTGTTGTTGTAAGGCCAACGACGAGGTTCACAATGCCATCCGCTCGCTTGGACCTCCGGCTTCCCGGCAGAACGGTGCTTCCGTCGCAACCTGCATCGAAGCCTGAGGTCCGCCGGTGTTCTCAAGTTGTGTTGCCGTGAGTCCTGAGCTCGGCAGCCATTTTACGTGGCTCGAGTGTCCGGGCTGGTGGTCCAATGGGCGGCAAGGCACTGGATTGAAGCAGGTTTCTTGTCGTATTCGTTGCATGCGTGGAGCCAGGTCGGCAAAGCATGCTGTGCCATAACTGGCAGGTCAGATTACGAGGACAGCATGGGGTGTGCTGAGAAACGAGCATACAGCAACCTGCTTGACGACCGACGGAAGGATGCGAACCACGTACTGCCGCCAGTCGCCGACAAAGACGGGAGGCACCTTGTTTAAGTCGAGCCGCGTGTGATGAAGTCAAGCATTGGTCATTGTGCAGTCTTGGAAGGAGAGAGGAGACCTTGGAGTGGCTGAATGAGCTCGTTGCACAGCTATGGCCGAACATTAACAATGCGGTCCAGAAGATCGTTCATGAGCAGGCCACGGAGAAACTTGAACCTTTGCTTGGCAGAATTGAAAGCACCAACACCCGCGAGGTCACACCGCAGCTGCAGGCGAGCCTCCCAAGCTTCTTGAAAGGCGCGGCACGTTTAGCTGTTAGGTCTGCCTGGTACCTTAATCCGCCTTTTCTTGCCTGCATCTACGTGGGCTGGTATTATGCCGGGTTAGGGTCCTGGTTGTACTTCGGCGTGCTGGAAGCTGCTGGAGCATGCAGCATGGCCATGCCATGCTTGTCCCATCGAGCCCGCTAGGCACACACTTCAAGACCTTCACGCTTGGAACGATCACCCCGAAGTTTGGGCCGATCGAGCTTGTCAGCCGCCAGGTGGGTGGGTGAACAGGGGGCAGCACGAGAGCATTCGAGAGCACAAAGCGGAAAGTTGTCACGGCTTTGTCCCGGGTCCAATTCCTAGGTGACAGCAGTCTTCTGCAGTCGTTTACGGTCGCTTCCTTAAATCGCATTTGAAATCTAAGACAGGCTCAGCCCACATCCAAACTCCCAACAGTCATCCGAACTGTTCCTGCAAACTCTTCCCTTCATCGCTTGTGCATACCTGCAGTCTTAGAAGATATCGATTTCTTCGTGCAGCGAGAAGTAAATGGTTGTGGGTGTTGTGCCTAGAACAACTGTATAGCAAGCGGAGCAGTCTTTCTTGCAGCCCTGAACCAAGTTCCCTTCTTTCGGATCTACGTCCTAAAAAGACACCGCATGTTGCCTTGCAGCACGGGTTGAAGCTCAACCTGAACTTGGACTACGAGTCGGATGTTGACATCGAAGTCTCTGCCGTGATCGCTAGCTCCATGGCTTTTCGCTGAGTTGGGTCTGGGCATTCGGAGCACACTGCTGGGACAGATTGGACTAGACAGCTGCGATTCTCGAGTGAAGTCGACACTATCGCTACCAATGTTCCTGGTTTTGAGAGAGTCAGTCCAACCGCCTCCAACACACCTTGACCCATACACTGTGTGTCGAAGCCTGGAAGGGATGTACCCGAACTCCCCAGACCGCTGTGCAAAGGTATTGGGATCAAGTCCATCCGCTTGCGCGGGGAGCTGGTGCTCAGACTGGAGCCACTGATCCATGAAACTCCGGTGGTTGGCGGCTCCTTGCTTGCAAAGCTTTTCATCCAGTTGAGGTGTGTGGTGCTTCGCCTTGCAGTGGAAGAGGAAGGTCTGTAAACGGCAGAAACTAGATGGGTGAATACAAGAGCATCTTGATTCTCTTTTCTGCTTCCGGCTCCCGGCTCCCCCCAAGCTCCTTGACTTGTTTCGTAACTCGTCGCTATTCTTCTTCGTATACTTCCTCGCCACCAGTAGCAAGTTTTTTTTTCAAAACTGGTGGAATGATCTGGTGAGGGCCAGCGTGACCCAGGCATCACCGTCTTCTTCAACGATCCGCCAGAGCTGGCCACTCGAAAGCAATTTCCGTGGTCTTAAAGCGCGACACAGGTTTAGAACCAGCCGAAGACCGCAAGGTCCAGACCATTCCCCTGTCCCTGTCGCAGTCAGGGCCTGGACTTCACCGGGATAGCCAACCTGGCAGATGTGCCCGGCATTGCAGGCATAATCCGCCACCAAATCAATGCGGCCATCAGTATCCTGGGCTTCACTTTGGACCCTTGCACCTACAGCTTTGCCCGAATGAAATAATTTGGCACTGGCTGCAGACAAAGGAGTCTGTTCTAAAATCTCCTGAGCGGATGAGTCTCCTGTGCTGAGGCAATGCCATGGTCCTGCCAAATGTCATTGCTGTGACTTGGACAGCTATCTGCTACTCAGAGTAGCTTGTGTCAGCAAATCCGGGCGACTGTCTGCAAATCGAGTCAGAAAGCCAGCAGCTGCATGTCGCAAAAGGGGTGGTGTTTGCCGTTTCGGGCTGCACTTGCCGTCACAGCACAACAGCAACCATTCCCAACCGGCAGCTGGCTAACCGGAGAGCAATAGGGAGAGAAAGCCCCCAAACAGCGCCCCAAGATCAGCCAGTGAGAGCTTTTTGGGGAATTCGAGGTGCCCATAGCAACACCGGCGCAGGGCGTCGACATGGCAGGGAGCCAAGCTCCGCGAGCTGTGAGTCTGTGACTTTCTGTACACTCCGGACCGGAGGCAGATCTCGTGAAGCCACTGCCCCTGGCCGTCTTGCGCGTCACTGGGTTTGCAGTTGGCCAGGAAGCCGGAGTAGCCTTGCTAGGGCTCACCAACAGCTCGAGGTGACGGCAGTCCGCGCGAAGGACATCACAGCCAAAGACTGGCACCTGCTGGGCAAAGCCAGCAGCGATGCCTATGTGACTTCTTGCCTGACTAGACTAGGCTTTAGAATGGGTTTCTCCACGTGAGTCTTGCCGGTGAGTGGTGGGCCGCTGGTGGGCAAGCTGTCCCTTGAGCAGGCTATTCTGATCTTCAATTAGGGTGTGTGGGATTTCGATCTTCATGCTGCAATCATACAACGACCCAATTTGACAAATCTGGATGAACGATAAATGACACAAATTTCCAGGTTTACCACCACAACGACAGGCCAATAACAAGAAGAGCAATTCTCATGTGTGCTTCTATACCCTTGGAAAAGTGAATTGAAAAACGTGCACAAATCACAGCATTTGGAAGCTGCACCAGATTCGATATCCCATTTGTTTGAGGCAATGCCTCATTTTGCTTGAAATCTTCTGCACAGGCACGGTCCCTGTGAAGCCACCCGTCGCTGTCTAAGGAGGGTCGCCTTGGCCAGCGACTCCTGGAACTCGTCTGTGCAGAAGCGAACCTGCAATCCGGCCGCCCGGTCAACAACATGGGACTTTTTGCCGGCAGTGTAACGAGGCTGCTTTGTCTCAAAGCAATCTTGGGTAGCAAACCCTGCTTGTTTGGTCATCTTTGAGCCCTGTGCCTGCTGATGCCATGAACCTGGCCCACCAAGGTTTGGGGTGAGTCGGACTTCCACGACTTCATGGTGCCTTCTCGCTTGTTTCGAAAGTAACTGGAGATTTCTGCAACGACTTTGAGATTTAGGCAGGTCTCAGAAATTTCACAACTCAAAGCTCTCCTGGCCAAGCGAAGGTCTTCGATCGGGATCAACGTCTCTGCATCGAGGCTCCTGTGGCCGCAAGAGAGATACCACGGCATCCGAAGCGACAGGGGTGTCCCTGATGAGGGAACCCGTGAACGCCAAATGTACATCAGTTGTCCTGATTTTCGGGGTCTCTGCCAGTTCATGAACAGTTGAGGGAGGATCCGGTGACTGTACGATCAACCCTCGCTGTGGACTACCGAGTTTCACTTCGGACAAAGGTCGGACAAACCGACACATGCGAAACCTGAACTCGATGAGTCGAAAACCTACAGACATGCTTCAAGTTCAGGTCTACGATAGTGACTACCTCACCAACTCGGACCTCATCGGCAAACCGAAGTGGCCAATCAAGGCCAATGCCAAAAGCTGTGTGTGTGTGTCCTTGTGGAATGGAGCCCGAGACCCTGGACAGGCTTGTGAGGCAGTTCGGAATTCCAGCCTGCCGCTGCCCCTCGTCGCACCTCGGCTGCGAGGCTCCTTGTCGGCTGCTCAAGAAGTTTCGATAGCTCCAAGGATCCGAAGTCGCCGGAGGAGAAGTGCTGTGGAACGCTGGAGATGAAGTTTGAGTGGCTGCAGCTGTCTGCGTGGGATGCCACGGCAGAGCCTCGGCTGGGAGTTCAGTTCTGCCGCATTCCGCAGCGAACCCCCCCTCCCCTATCAAGGCCAAGGCCAAGGGAACTTTGGTAAAGCTGGGCGTCAACCGGATGACCTTCCCACCGTCCTTCGGCAAGTCGGCCGCGGTCTTGGTCAAGCTGGGAGAGCAGGACCGGGGAAGCCTGAGTTTTAACTTGCCGGGCTTTAAATGAAAGAGCGAGGGTTGATCTCTGCTTAGACCGGGACAGAGAAATCCCCCCTGTGACACGAAGAACGAATGCAGATCTCTTGGCTCTTGACACAGCGAGGAGCGGACGTCCAAGGTTCACAGGATCAAAGAGCCCTCGCCTCTCGGACACGGGGATGCGAGACAGTCGGACTTGAAAGATGTGTTTTGGAGTTTGAGCTAGGATCGTGTCTACGGAGCTGCGTCTCATAGCCGTCCCTGGCGCAGAACTTGTCGCGAATTGCGTTGCTGCCACCGCAGCCCAAGTGACGCAGTTTCCCGAGAAGGTCAGGCTTCATAACTGGCTCTAATTCACGACGGACGGGCGAAAGATCTGGGCTCTTAGATTTGCATCCGCCACCACCAGTATCACAGCCACAATGACTGCTATTGAATCATATTCCCCGCATCCTATAACCTTTCAATCACACGAGCCAAAGCTCGCGCCCTAGGCCTGATGTGGTCTCCGTAGCTGGTGCTCTGGCGCGAGTCGCCAGGCATGGGGTTCTTTGTCTTAAGTGCATCTGCTCTTGTAAACACCTCGGCCGGTGGGTCGCACTGCAGTACGTGATAATTTCTCATGATGCTCATCCATCATCCGAAGCAAGACCTGCCTTAAATAGCAATTGGGGAAGCTTGATTTGGAAAGCTTTTGGGAACCGTCAGTCGGACCGTGTTTCCTGGTTGGTGGCTTCCAGGTTTTTGAGGTACTCTTGGAATTCCTGTCAGAGGACAGGCTTGTGTTTGAAAGACTTTTGTTGAGCTGCTAGTCGCTTTGCATCTCTGCAGTGCAGACACAAGCGAAGCACCCTCTCGTTGTTGAGCGAGTTCATAGGTGTAAGTCATATTGAAATCGTTCTACATTGTCGTAGCTCAAGCGCCGCAAATTCGCCCGACGCTCCGCGAAATCTGGGGAGTGGGTTCGGAACTGTGCAAACAGGCTCGGCCGACCTTGCCTTTCTTTCGGCTGCGGCTGGTGACAGATCAACGAACCAACAATCCTACGATACCACAGGGCTCAGAGTTTTTACCAACCGCTTAGTTTCAGCTTTATCCGAGTCTGTTAGTTCTCCATCAGTTCCTGCCGGGATTTGCTGCCCATCACTCCTTTCCTGATTTGTGTCTGCGGACCACGCCACTCCGTTCCGGACTGGTGTTCCACGGGATCATTTTGTTTATAGCTGCTGGCTTGTTCCCGCTCACTTCTTGTCAGGATTCATTTTGCTGCCCATTGCTTCTTTCCGGCTCTAGAGTCACGGTTTTGGGTTCGTGAGAATGTTTGCGTTGGCCGAGATGTCAGATCCCCGATTTGACATTGTGACACAGACTAGACCGCATTCCGACTTGACACCGTCCATTGTCTTACTTGCCTCTACTCGCGCAAGCCGGCAGCTCACCATTGTCGCACCAAGGGTGTCGGGCAATGCAGAATGTATAGAGTGACACGATCAAGAGTCAAGAGTTCGTGCCGTCAGCCACTGCGGCAGGAGCTCTCCTTTCAGGGAATATTTAGTTAACGGGCCATGGCTCTCTGGCTTCGCTCCGAATGCCGTGCTCTCTGATCAAGCGTTCGGGCCGTCAGCCACCGCGGCACGAGCCCTCATTTCAGGAAACTTTTATCCCACCTCACTCGCCCTTTTCGTCTTCACTGGGGCTTGTAAAGACTGCTGTCCGGTGGGCGACGTGCGGTGCTAGAATCTGCTAGAAGGCATCAAGCAGCACCAGTCGTTCAGCTGTTCGGCTCGTTGGATGCAACCAACAGAGGCAAATGGGCAATGGTGAAAAGGAGCCATTGCCATCAAGAGTGCACAGATTCGCCTAACATGTCATACTACACACAGGCGTAGTCCAAACTTCTAATATTGTTTTGGCTTCCATATGGCGTTGCTCGTGCCAAAAGACAGGCGGTGCAAGGCACAGGGCCTGAAGATGGAAGCGATCCAGGAGATCACGGGCTTGAGCAAGGCCGGGTGGAAGGTGGATAGCGTGGGACGTTCGGACAACCCATGTAGAGAATGGGGTCTGATGGTGTCACGGGGTTTTTTCTGTAGCTGTGCAACTTTCGAGCCCCAAGCTGGACCTCTTTCAGGGTCTGGCTGTTCGAAGGGAATCGAACGTGTTGATGATGTTTGCAAGGAGCTTTTATATCATCAACCAAGTTTCGCCTCCGCTAGGAAGAGGTGAACGCTGCACTCGCAGACTCAGACAAGAAGGAGGGTACTGCAGCCGCCTTGCGACCTGAGATCCGGATGGACGTAGTGTTGCTGGGTGGCAAGGCGAAGCGTTTAATCACTTCGCTCGGAATCTTTGCTTGGGGCAGTTTTGGCTGCACTGTATGTGGGCGTGCATGGGGTGTAGCTTGTTTTCCGAGTGTGTAACCCCGCATTGCGTCCATTCCAGGCTGTTGAGACATGGGTTGTTATGCGTTGAAGCAACAGGTTCTACTTCTCCGTTTATGAAGATGATGCGAAGAAGCTTGACTTCACCGTGACTGCTTCTCGGAATCCAAACGACCCATGCTGATCCGTTTGGTTCAGAGGTTCAGTCTTGTAGTTCGCTCTGATTGACTCCGTGCAAGTCAGGCGCTGGATGAAAAGATGAAACCCTACGCAGCTTGGGTTAAACAGTGAAGTCACGATCCGTTTAGCTTGTTTAGAGAGAGTTTGTTGCTACTGATAATGGCATTGTCGTCGTTTCGGGATGTTGCGATTTTACATGACAGGGCACCCACAAGATCGAGCAAACACGAATCCCGGATTCTTACTTTGGGACGAGCCGAAGTCTTCCACATTGATTTCCTGCTTCAAGCCGACGTTGAAAATGAGTTCGCACCCAATCCCGAGGGTTGTACACATGTTGAGCGGGGTCCCGTCCTTGTGAGGCAACAGTCGCGTCATCGGTGGGCGATGCTGCGGCTGCAATTGATGCCACGCCCACGATGCGAACATTGAAGCTCAATGAAGGCAGTGGCAGGGAGAGTCGGGAGACAAGTGCTGAGCCATGGCGCGGGCAGGTGAAGGTTCGGTACAGGCTGAACTCGAAGTGTGCCTCTTCGCAATCGGCTGAAGGGTGCTCTGGGCCGACAGGGCTGCAGGTGGTGAGGGACCCCTGCCATCGTCGGCTTAGCTGCGAAGACGAGCTGATAGCTTGTTGAAAAGTGTTTGATAAGACCGGCTTGCGGTCTATTGGACCCGCTGCTGACTGTAGTACTGTAGGTCCTAGGTGTTTCACGCGGCAACGTCAGGGCGCGCCTGGCAAAGTGTTAATGTCCCACCAGAGGGAGGATTCCACTGTCCGGGTGCAGACTGCAGAAGGCCAGGGCACCCGTACAGGCTTCCAGCAACAGTAAGACCTGACACTGCCAGATGCTCCTTTTTGCAACATATCCTGAAAAGCCATTCTTGCAAGGAGTTCTTTGACCTTCCTCAGGGTTCCCAGCCTGAAGTTTCGATTTAAGTGCTTCGCTGGCGAAATTCGGCGTTCGATGCAAGGCTGCTCCTTGTAATGAGTCTCTTGGCTTCCTCTGCCATGCTGATCTAGGGATGCAGTGTGCCCGAACGCTCTGCATGACCCTTTTGCCATACCTTTTTGCAGCAGGAAAAGCGACGTTCCAGATTGGAAAGGGCAGAGCTAAGTGTTCAGGAGGACTTGAAGTTGTCTGAATGCGCGAGAGAATGAGTTTGTCCACGTCTGTTTGCATGCTCTCCTGGCTCCTCAGAAGCAAGGCGTTCAAGAACTTTTGGAAGATATGTCGGAAACAAAAGGCCTGCATTCGCTTCGACTTGCGTGATTAGACGATTATTCCTATACTCCCCCCTACACCTCACCAACTATATCACCACTACTACCCCATTACCAATAATGCCAAT